TCTAATCCAATAATGTGAGGACTTATTGTGCTACAGTTATATCTTATTTTCTGTTTTTTGGGGGTTTTGTTTTAATCTTTTTCTTATCGGGTTCTTGACTTGAATATTTAGTTCGTAATTTCAAAGACTTTAATTTCGTTTCTTTTTTTCTTCCTTTCTCTTTCTCTGCTAAATATTCTCCAACATAATCTTTTCTGTTTTAAATTAATTTTAAATGTATCATTCTTTTTAATTCATTAATTTGTTTATCAACGAAAAATAAAAAAAAAATACCACTATCAAACATTAATTACAAAATGCTTTTATTCAATTCTGTAGAAAAGAATATTTCCCATCCGTTATCAAATGAATGATTATATTTTTGTATTTATTTTTAAGCCTGTCTGCGCATCTGCAGAAAAACTAAAATTTGCTAATACTTAAAAAAGCAAAAACGAAAAAAAACCCAAAAAAACAAATATAAATTTTCTATTAATGTTGCCGTTATTCTTTCTTCCTAATCGTGTCTGACGCCATTTCACTAAGTTATAGCGCCACCTGTTGCCAAACTCACGACACCTACAATTCATAATGAAAAACGTCTGCTTGAAAAACTTTGCCCAATTGTAACATTTAAATTTCAATCATCATTTTCATATGACAGGCGCGCCATCGACAATGCGTTATAAATTAAAAGAAAGGAAATATTGACTGTTTATTCATATTGAATCTTTTGTTCTTTAATTAATGTAGCGTTAAAACAAAATTTATGATTTCCAGTAAACGAGAAAATGTCGGTTCATAAAATTCATGATTGCGAAGTTTGTATGAAATTGAACAGTAGCAACACTAAACACGCATGAACATGAATATAGGCGAGGATAGAAAAATAAATGCAGGCAATCATAAACAGATATATTAACAGAAATTGACCCGGGTTCGATTTTTATTATTAATCGAATTGTTAAAGAGGTGACTTCTTCATCATCCCATCGTGAGGCAAAATTAGAAACTGACTGAAAACCACACAAGGCGTTAAACTGAAACTGTTCGGAAGCCGTCAATGGTTCCGTTAGAATTAAATCACAAGTCATCGCGCGCCAAGACTTTAAGTGTACTTGTCATGTTCAACTACTGATCACACTAGAACGCGTTCTCTTCTAGAAACTGTTATAGTTCAGTCTGTTTAGCATAGTTGCAGTATAAACGACAAGTTGACTCAGTGGGTCTAGATAGATAGATCCGTTTAGGTGAAACCTAGGTAGGTTTGTCTGGCTCACTAGGTGTATCTAGGTCTGCTCTACGGTTGTATTGAGCTCTTTTGTTAGTTAGTTGTTTACTCGTATCGGGGTTTTTTCTTTGGGCTTCAGACCTGCATCTGTGCGATTTTTTTTGTCGGCAGAAGTTCATGTTTGTAGCTCTTTTTTTTTTAAAACATTTTTTTCCTCGAGATTGATTTGATTAGCAAATCAAAAAATCGAGGGTTTTTCGAAACGAGTCTAGTTATCTATCTATCTATCTATATATATATATATATATATATATATATAATAAATCCTAAAAAGCCAGTAAAACCTACCTAGGTTTTACCTAAACGGATCTTCAGGGTAAGCTGGCTGAAAAGGAAATGACGAAACAGCATTTATTGATAAAGGATATTATTTTTAGGATTTATTTTAGTTATTCCCCCTTTCCTTAACGTACTGAGCACTCGACGCTTTAGTCTTACTACTCGATTCGGTTTTTCTTTCTTTGGACTAAAGACTTAAGACCCTGTTCGGATATTTTTTGTTCTTTCTTTTTTATTTCCAATTTTTCCTCGGCTATCGATTTGTTTTGACATATCTACAAGTTAAGCTATTTGTGGTTTTTTACCAAAAGAATATTACTATTAGCATAAATCGGTAAAGGCACGTCAAGCTAAATGACGGTTCCGTATAGGATACAGGTTCGAATCCTGTCGGAGGACGAATATTTTCTGTGAAAATTTCTCGGACATTCAGGCCGGTAAATGTTGTTTAATACTGTTTATTATAAACAGAGCATTTACTTAAATATTTGTACCTATAAAAAGAATGTATAAACATAAAAATGTCTAATATATATATATATATATATATATATATATATATATATATATATGTATGTTAGCTTAAAAGCCGTCCTATGGGGCGGCATTTAAGCTAGCTCCAATAGGTAGGGAGTAGATGTGATAAACTACAGAATAACTTAAAACTGATCGCTGCACTTCAGAATTGCATTAAGGGCGGAGTCTCTTTCGGGTTCAAAAGGCATATTTCCCACGTTAAACTGGCCTTGTGCCACATGATGCCCTCGTGGGGGGGTGACTAAATACTAAATGAGGTCCGTCAGTCAGAGCGAGTCAGTCAGTCGAGTCAGAGGCAGTCCGAAACAGAGTCGCGTTCAGACAATTACTACTAAACCTGATTGTTCGTACTAACACTTTCTACTTCTCTGTATATATTCCTGTTTGTAAATATATCTGTGTTATTTCATATCAGTGTTCGATTTCTTCTTTATTGGTTCTACCTTGGACTATCACCGTGGTACAAGGCGTCTACAACGGGATTGACTAGCGAGGATCTGCTGGAAAGTTCATAGGCTGACCAAAATATACATGTAAGTAGACATACACGTTGGTAGGTTAAAAGACATGCTTGTATAGCCGAATACAACGGGTGGTACCAAATTTACCAGAATACAACAGCTGGCCGAAACTAGATGTATGTACAGGTAGACATATAAAAGCCTCTAATATGTATATGCTTAGGTGGATAGGTATTATATATATATATATATATATATATATATATATATATATATATATATATGTAAGCCTGTTTCGTTCTATCACAGCTCATCAGTGTGGTTGGTATCCGATTGCTTCAAGCCGCGATCAAAACGCGACCGATTTGGCATCAGTCAGAGACTTCTACGGGTAAGCTGTCGGCGCACGGCATAGAATGGCAATCTTTTAACATGTTATATACGTGATGTATATAAACACCAAATGAACAGCTAGAGCTCTCAATTCATAACTGAAGAGCAATGTGCCATAAACAGGAGCAGCCACTGCTTTAAACATTCCCTTACCCCATAGTGCTCAATTGTCGACCGAGAGCAATTCATCCACATGTAAGCCTATTTCAATGTAACACAGTTCATTAGTGTGGCTCGTCAGCCGTATATATATATATATATATATATATATATATATATATATATATATGAAAGAAACAAACATACATACACTCTCTTGTGTCTGAACATTGGATGTGATAATTTAATTTGATTTATGCCTCCCACTTATTCTCAGAGATTCCAACACCTTTTTCTTTACGTACCGTTTTGTCTTTCTTTCATTCTAACCTGAGGAAGCTAAACAGAGCAGATACTCTCGGCGAAACGCGTCGCTTATAAATTTTCCACTTTGTCTCATCATCTTCAATTTTTCTTCGGATACCATTAAACGTTCTACAAACACACACACACGCACACACACACATGTATATACTGAATGCGATGGCTAAATTGCCGGCATTTTATATTTTTAATTTCCCGCATGCACGTTGTTTGTTTTTGATTTTATCGACTTCACAGTATTGTAAGATCAGTTGGGCACCGTCCATGAGAAAAAGAGCACAATGAAGCAATTCACTCCGCCAGAAATTTGGAAAGGGCATGCTGTACTGCTTGGCATTCGCACCGGAATCTTCAATATGAATATTTCAGAGTATTTGGGTGTTATTCTGAGGACAGTGCAGAGGATTCGGAAAGAGTTGAATGAGTCTAATGGTGATTACCAAAGTACAGCAGCTCGGAAATAATCACTTTGATCGTTCTGATAAGAAACGAACTCCCGAATTTGTTGGTGAGGCCTACATCAAATGCTTTGAGGACGTAGTGCTGCTCTGGGTCAAGATGGTGGCTGCTGGAAGACCCTATGTGTGGCAACAGGACTCTGCACCATGTCACACAATCAGGAGAACCTAATCATGGCTGTCAGACAATTTCTACGACCCCATCATCCCTTAAATCTAGCCACCTAAATCCAGAGACTGCAACATCTTTGATTATTTTACGTGGGGAGCAGTTGAGCCAGAGACCAACAAAACTTCCTATAGCACAAAAGTTGAACTGAAGGCAAGGATTATGGCAGCATTCACCAACTTAATCAAGAAGACCGCCCAGAAGAGTTACAGAATATTCCGAAGTCATCTGGAGGCCGTGGTTGAAGCCAATGGTGATTTTATTGAATAAATTAACTCTTTCGTATTTCAAGATATTTTTGTGTAATTTTGGTAAATAGATCTGTTAAAATGAGATGTCAGTATATTTTCATTTTTGCAGAATTTAGACGACGATTTATTCATCGACACCTATGTGTGCGTGTGTTGTGTATATATATATATATATATATATATATATATATATATATATATATATATATATATATATATAGTTATTCCTTATTCCTTCGAATTGAAGCCACAAAGACGTTTGCCTAATTCAGCGAATCATGGCAAAGTGAACATCATTTAACACCCCCTCCCCAAATTTAGACAAGATATATTTAAAATTACTTCTTTTCTCGTGGTCTGTCTTTGAAGTGGAATACCGTTGATATAATTATTGCAGAAATATTTCATTGGAGTTTTATTTCTCTTGTCCAGAAAAGTCTTTTTGTCCCTTTTACAAATTTAGGTGCACAAAGTACAGCTGTTGTTTGGCTACGTCGTTACGTAGTTGAAGAATCTGGCTTCCACAAAAGCTCTCCTTTTATTTTCTGTTTTTTTTCCCTCCAACTGCCCAGACATAAATAAATGGAAGGGTAAAGAATTTTCTTTGGTCGTTTGAATAAGTTGCATCTGCGCAGACGCTTTGATACAAAGAGTATGAATATAAGGAGGAACTTTCTTGTCCGAAAGTTGTCCAATACATAAGCCTATACGCATGTATCTATTTATGTACTAGACAAACATAGGTCCGAATTCATAAACATTGATAGACAGACAGACAGATAGACAGATATTAACAGACCGAGATAGATAGATAGATAGATAGATAGATAGATATGAACAAAAAGAGATAGAGAGATACATAGATAGATAAATAGATAGATATGAACAGACTGAGATAGATAGATAGATAGATAGATAGATAGATATGAACAGACTGAGATAGATAGATAGATAGATAGATAGATAGATAGATAGATAGATAGATATGAACAGACTGAGATAGATAGATAGATAGATAGATATGAACAAACTGAGATAGATATGAACAAAAAGAGATTGAGATATACATAGATAAATAGATAGATATGAACAGACTGAGATAGATAGATAGATAGATAGATAGATAGATAGATAGATATGAACAAACTGAGATAGATAGTTAGATAGATATGAACATAGATAGGTATGGGCAAAAAAAGATAGATAGATAGATAGATAGATAGATAGATAGATAGATAGATAGATAGAAATGGATATACGCGTTTTGTCAGGGAAGTGGTTTCTTGATATTATCGGGCTGAGAAAAAATTCCAATCTAGCTGTTCCGTTGGAAAATGACAGTAAATCATACCCACAAGTTTACCCGAGTGTTGTGAGTGAAATTGGTTTTTCAAAATTCTCAGGAAGCCATCGATGGTTTTACTAACCTGAATTTACAGATGACTCATGATTTATATGTACTGGCTTTGATCAAACTGTTGCTCATGTCAAATTATGGGCTTTCTTCCGAAGGTCTTCTCAGCTTAATTGCAGTATATGCCAAAGACTGGGGTTCTGTGTGTTAAATAAACGCAGATGGACCTGGGCAGGAGTTAGTGACAAGGATTGTCTAGCAGACTGGTGTGCTCTGGAACGACAAGAGTGGGGAAATGCATAACCTTCTCATCGAATTTGTTTAAATGGTTGTCAGAACCGGGATTAGGAGAAATAGCAAAAAGACAAAATCTAGGGAGGTCTACAAAGGACAGGAAATTGTGGAGAGCCATGATCTCACATAGTCCGAAGCGACACGGCACATACAAAAAGAAGGATCTTGTGTAAATGGTTAGTAGAACAGAAATTACGAGAGATAGCAACAAGACAAAATCTACGGAGGTTTACAAAGGACAGGAAATTGTGGAGAGCCATGATCTCACATAGTCCGAAGTGACACGACACATACAAAAAGAAGGATCTTGTGTAAATGATTGGTAGAACAGAGATTACGAGAGATAGCAACAAGACAAAATCTACGGAGGTTTACAAAGGACAGGAAATTGTGGAGAGCCATGATCTCACATAGTCCGAAGTGACACGACACATACAAAAAGAAGGATCTTGTGTAAATGATTGGTAGAACAGAGATTACGAGAGATAGCAACAAGACAAAATCTACGGAGGTTTACAAAGGACAGGAAATTGTGGAGAGCCATGATCTCACATAGTCCGAAGTGACACGGCACATACAAAAAGAAGGATCTTGTGTAAATGATTGGTAGAACAGAGATTACGAGAGATAGCAACAAGACAAAATCTACGGAGGTTTACAAAGGACAGGAAATTGTGGAGAGCCATGATCTCACATAGTCCGAAGTGACACGACACATACAAAAAGAAGGATCTTGTGTAAATGATTGGTAGAACAGAGATTACGAGAGATAGCAACAAGACAAAATCTACGGAGGTTTACAAAGGAGAGGAAATTTAAAATCAACACCATACGAATTTCATAACGCTTAAACAGTCATTGAGTATTCTGCACCTGAAGATTGCATGTCCGCATGAAACTCCGAGTCGGGACTATCAACGAGGGATATTATGTATATTCATTAATATTTACTTAATAGCTCTGTTATATAACATTAGCACTGTTTTTATTTTTAACTGAGAAAAAATATATATGTACGTGCAAATATATGTGCGTATACGCATGTTTTTATCATACCCATATCTATCTATCTGTGAGAGAGACCATATTGTGTATTATGATCCATAGATATAGCAAAGTTCATATCTATATATATATATATATATATATATATATATATATATATGAAGAAATATAGTCTTAAGATGTGCTATATTTATGGGATAAAGTGCTCAATATCAGAGATAGAGCGTGTGAGGATTGCATCTAGCATGAAACAGACTGTCACCTTTAAGTGTTGACTTCTATGTTCAGTTTTACGCACACACACACACACACACACATACATATATATATATATATATATATATATATATATGTATATATATATGGATAAAGTGAGAGAAACAGACAGAGAGACAGATTGACAGACAGAGAAAAAATTAATACAATTATTATTTCCTTTGATTTCTGGTATGTTCACATTTCTTCTCGGGTCCCGACCAGAAACTTAAGGTCGGAAATGGTATCATGACATTTTTTAATGAGTAATTTAAAAATAAATCACCATCGTAAGATGTGGGCTGTACTCCTGAGAACAATTGTTTGTATTTCTGTAAGGAATGGGCTAACAGGTATTCCTTCAATGAGTCTATTGGAATCTTTTCCAATCAATCCGAGGGCTCCAACTACAACGGAAATTGTATATGTTCTCATGAACCATATTTTTTGAGATTTCGATTTCATTGCATTGTTTTTATTAATGCTTCATTTCTTTTGGTTTCTGGTCTCTATTCATTTCTTTCCTGGTTCCGGCCAGAGGCCTAAGGTCAGAAATGGCATCATGATATTTTCCACTGTGCAGTTTTGAACAAAAATATCGCCCATATTTTACATAGATAAAACACTTCGTAAGGTGTAGGCTGTACTTGTGAGTACCATTTTTTGTATTTATTTAAGGCATGGGCTACCAGGGATTCAATCAATGAATCTATTGGAATCTTTTCCAATCAATCCGAGGGCTCTAACTACGACTGGAATTGTTAATGTACTCATGTGCCATATTTTTGAGATTTCGATTTCAAAGTCCTTGTATTTTGATAGTTTTTTTTTTTTTGAAGATCCCCAAAGATACATTGCAGTCTGCAGGGACTGCTATATCAATAAAGAGGTACGTTTTGTCTTTGTGGTCTCTAATCACGATGTCAGGGCGATTAGCTTGGATTGGCATGACTGTGTGTATTGTAAAATCCCGTAAAATTCTTACAAGTTCTATCTCCGTAAGCTGGATGGTGCTCATACCGATTTCTTTCAGTTTCCTTTCAGTAGAAGTTGCAGAAACCGTTGCCAGAGCGTCAAAGATGTCGCCAACAGCATGGAAATGCCGCAATAGAAAGACGAGAAAGACTCTGAAAGAGCTTGGCTATCAAAGAAGTGTTACAAAAAAGAAGTCCTTGATTTCAGAGGTTAACAGGAACAGGCGTATGGACTGGACAAAATAATTCGAGAGCAAAGATTATGGATTTTGGCAGTCTGTAATTTTGTCAGATGAAAGAGAATTCTGCTAATATTCGAATTCGACATAGGTTTATATTTGGAGAAATCAGAATGAGATTTAGAACATTGAATGTCTGCAGGCGATCGTGAAACATGGAGGAATTGAAGTAATGGTGTGGGTAGCTATCTGGTTTGCAGGGGAATCTGAGCTGATTCTTGTTGACGAGCGGTTGAATGGTTCAAAAAACCGTCAAATATTAGAGAAAGGTCTACTCCCACCATTTGAAACCAATCAGATTGGTAAGATGACATACGAGCAAAGTAGCAAAGATTTGGAAGGAATCGCAAGGAATCAAGTCACTGCCATGGGAAGCCAAATACCTGACATGAATCCAATAGAACACGTTTTGGAGCCCCTTGACCGAAAACTTCGAGAGCGTGTAACCAAAATCGCGTCATTGGCAACCCTCAAAGAAACATTGCGAAAGGAGTGGCCAAATATGAATCAGACGATTGTTGATAATTTGATGAAATCCATGAAATATCAAATACACTGAAACTAGCAAATGAAGGACCTACTCCATACTAGTTCCAAATACTGTTTATGTTGAATAGCGATTACGTAATTAAATTTTTGAAATTGGATGTAGTTTATTTCTCTTGGTCAAAAACTTTTTTTAGGTCACTGTACGATGTGACAGTCACATTTACAATGGCCGACAAGTGAATTCTTTACTTCACATGCAGGAAGTTTAACCCACAGAAGAGGAGGTTTCATAAATTTTACAAGGATATTTCTTCGTAAGTAAATATAAGTGTTATGAGGTCCACCCCTTTTTCATACAAGTGGACTCGACCAGCGTGTACTTGGACTGCTGCCGTTAAATACCCAGAGTCAGTCAGAGTAGAGAGACAGAGATTGTGATTGAGTTGGAGGTAGAGTAATAGTGTGAGGTAACCGCTTGTAGAAGTCACAGTTACAAGCACGTAGACTCTAAGGAAGTCCTACTTCGAGACTGAATTTACCAGACTGTATATATATATATATTATTATTGCTACTAACCATGTTCCTGAATTTACTAAATTGTATTATTGTGTAAATACATTTATTTGTTATATTTCATTCCTGCGTTTGTCATTCAATGGAGACCGGATTTCATCTCGGAATCCACAACAATAAGGAACACGACTAGAACTGGAACTCGACTCCCCGAGCTCCAATTCCGAGATGTTTTCCTTTACACCACCCGCACATCCAAGCTTACAGAAACTGATATTCCCAAGCAATCACCCATCTTGCTTTATTTCGGTGATCGTACGAGAATCAGTGTTTCAACGTGACATAGCCGTAAGTTGTTATGAGGATAAGTAGGATAGATAATGGTTGACCTTTGACTTGAAGAAGTTAAGATTGTAATATTCAAAGAAATATCAATGTGGTAGTTTGTTCCACGAAGTAGAGTTCTCGGGAAACAGCTAAGTGGGACTTCCTCTTTACAGATTGAATTCTAGAGAGTCCAAGCTGTCATGGTCTGAACTCGTGGAAGTAAAATTTGTTTTTTGTTTGTTTAACGGCATATCGACTCCTTATGGGTCATTTAATGCCGAAATTAAATTTTCATGGGAGCGTTGAAGTAATAAAAAATATCAGTATCTGTCTATATTTCTGAGATGAGGTATTATGTACAGTATTTGCATTATTCGGACTATTGTTCTCATCTTTGTTGCCATATTTATCGGCTTTCTTCAGGTGGTTGGAATGTCCAACCACTGTCGCACCTTTATACAGTGTGCTATCTGTTCTTAAAGTCACATAGCCCAGTGGATAAAGTTGTTGGTTAGATCCAGTGACAGGACCCAAAGAGTTTTGAGTTCAATAGCTGGTTAAGGCAGTGAAGAAATTAGAGAGGTGAATTAACAGGAGATAACTGATAACTGATATCCATTAGACATGGCACGTGGAACTAGAACAGTCTACCCCAACGAGCGAAATAAATGGTTCAGTTCTACATTCCACCCACCTGAAGAAGGCCGGAGTGTACAACGGCTGAAATGTTGTGATAAATATGGCAAAAAAGATGAGGACAATAGTCCGAATAAATGGAATAAAAAATGTTTTCACAATTGAATACATGGTAGATGATACTCAGATTTTGTC